AGGCTCACTGACAGAAACGAGGCTCCCGAGCACTGGTGCCACTGGTCCCTTCAACCCCCACCAGCAGGAAAGGAGGGTTTAGTGTCTTGCCCCGTAACACGACTGTGACAGATGGGGCTCAAACCTGGGGCGATCATTTAACTCCTGTGCTACCGTCTCCCACTTTATTGAACATCTTGCAAGTATGCCAGATTTAGACACATTCAGGCTATGTTTCATCCATATTCAGCCCTATCAAATGATCAGCCCCGCCCACAACCAACCCCGAATTACTGTTTTTTTTCTACATTGACTTCATAAAAGTTCTACTTTAGAGGTTCGAAAGATCTTCAGACTAAATACCCTCAGATATCAGATGAAAATCTGATGGAAAAGAATCTGCATCTTAACCTAATCTTCTCCATGCAGGTGGTAGGTCCACGTGGAGGTGGCTTTCTCGACCCTTTTTTGGGCTCCTAAACACCAGGGGCCAAGGCTACACCATCAGATCTCCTTCCTGTCTGGACCTAGGAGGGTCTACTTCTTCCATACAAGATATCCTATTACTTATGGTCCTCCTTCGCCTAGATCCTAGACTTGATCCTGGACCTTCTTAACCCTTCAGCTATATAATCTATCCATCAATGCTAATTGGATCCTCCCTCCTGCTAAATGATCCAATAATCTGGATTAGGCTCAGGTTTAGAAGGCAGATGTAGACCCGACATGACCTGTTATTAACTCAAACCAGCAGGTTTAACTGGTCTACAGTCACACGTGGAGGCTTCCTGCTGGGCTGCAGCTCTGGATCAGATGTAGGTGTGTTACTGTAACAAGCTGGGGTCATTATCCACATATCATCTGGTAATAAACATTTGGGGCTGCAGATCATTGCACCGATAAACACAAACCACCTGATAACGTGATCAAAAGTTGTAGTTTGAGTTCGCTGCCTTCGCTCAGAGGATTTTAATCCTTCATTCTTCTCTTTAGATCCATTGCAGCGGCGCTCCTGACCTCTTTCACTTCTTCTAATGTTGTGGGATTAAGGAACTAGGATTAAATCTCTGTCCGTCGCTTAAGCCTGAAGTGTCAGCTAAAGGCCTGAATGCAGCATTTGAGGCTCAACTGGTGATGTAATTTACTGTGAAGGGAAAGTTTTAGTCTCATCATCAAACACAAACATTGATTGTTTTACACCAACACAGACTTTAAATGTGTAGTTTTACATTAAAATACATTAAATCAAAGTACTTTTTACATTTTGAGGTTTTTTAGCATCAATTACAAATAACAAATAACTTTTTACGTAGCAAAAAATAAGCCTTTTTAGCTTCTTTGTTCAACTTTAAAACTATGTACTGTATACATTTATGTCAAAGTACAAACCTAAAGCCATACACTGTAAAATGTAATTAGTTAATCTTACCTGAAAAAATAACACAAAAAGATTGCAGTTAAAATTATAAGTTCACAGGACTAGGTAATAATGTGTTAGAGCTACTAGTAATTACAAAGTAAAGTTAACTTAAATACACGTAACTAAGAAAAACTACTAGTATTTAACCTACTTAAACAGTTGTAAGCTGTATGAAAATACTTTGTACTAGTTAGTCTCGGTAATAGTAACTTGCATTTAAGTTCATTTAACTTTCATGCATTAGTGGCCCAACTTGTAATTACCTAGTCCTGTGTACTTAATAATTTAAAGAGACAATGTGCAGATTTTATCATTAATCTCTGGAAATGTCCATCAAAATGTTGTTGAACATGAATGAAATGATGCCCATGAAAAATATTGACAGCTTAGTATTAAATAACCATGAAAATCTGGTCTAAAATACATGGGAGCGGGTCTATGGCCCAATCCCAATACTTGCACTTGCACCCTCGCGCCCTTCAATTGCGCGTTGCCGGCCAGGGGTGCGAGTGTGTATGATATCCTGATTCTGAAGAGCGGAAGTTGGCCACACCCCCATTGCATGTTTAATCTGCACTTCACCCAAGTCCGCAGTAATGCGACCTCGGGCAAGGGTATTACCCAAAAGTCATTGCTGCAGGAGAAAAGGCTCAAGTTCCTTTTCTGAAAATATGAATTTTCTAATGAAATTAGTTAATTTTGGGACGAGTAGTTGATGCTCCAAAACTTTTAGGCAAAGCAGCAATACATGTAAATTTATTTCAAATAACTGTTTGGCTGTTTGTTTAAAAGTTGTTAATAAAGGTTTTTGAAAAGAAGTATCACAGCAACCAGCATCCAGGCATGCTTTGCAAACGATGACGCAATGCTCCCTGTCACAATTCTGCTATTATTTGCACACTTGTGTACTACGCACTCGAAGCCTTGCAGCGCACTTTCTCCAAGTGCACTTTGCTGGAGTCTTTAGGGCGCAGTGCGAGTATTGAAATTGGGCCCAAATCTCAGGGCGACTCCATATTAGAAACCATGTTTTCTTCTACAGGAGCCCATGAGGACAAAATGCATTTACTGATTTGTAGCAAATGGTTACAAATAGAGCCCTGCACTGAAGCCCTAGGCCCTCGGGTCGGCCCGGCCCGACGGCCCTCGGGCCGGGCTTCGGGCCAACGACTGTGTAATTACCTCGGACACGGGCCGGGCCGGGCGCCTTTATTTTTATTCGAAATCATTAAAAAAATTAAAACACTTAAACGCAGCAGTAGAGCCCTGTGCGGGACTGTTTTCTTCATCCCGCTCCGCTCCCGCTGAATTTCTGACCATTACAGCCTGCAACCGCAACGTGTGTGTTACACTCCCGCCCGCACCTGCAGCGTGCATGTCTACTCCCGCCCGCACCTGCAGCGTGCATGTCTACTCCCGCCCGCAACCGCAAAACTCGGAGAAATTATTACCTCACAATAAAAGAGATGTATTGAGTTTGCGTCCTCAACATGTCATTTTATAGGTTATCCGCTTTCACAGCAGCGCTGCGCTCCGTTTCAATCAGGCTGTACAGCAGGATTTCCCCTCGTAGCGATATTTTCTCTAACTCTGATTGCTTCATGCTATAGATCGTTGGAAAGCTGCTTTTATGTACTTTTAGGAACCGTTGGAATTATTTGAATCTGATCAACCATTCAAAAGTTATAAAACGGAGCATTTTGGATGACAAACTCGCACGTCTCTGAATCTGTGTTGTGATTCGTTGCGCTCAAGACAGGGAATCCCGGTGGCTACCGTAATGTATTGTATATGCACGGAAAGCCCCATTTTTAATCTTTTCAGCACTTTTGGAATTTTAATGATATCTTGAACTAGAGCAGGGATCGGCAACCCGCGGCTCTTCCATCCATCTGCCGATGTGCTTGTAAAATAATGAATGGATATTTAAATAAAATGCTTTATATTTTACTGAATTAATTTTATATCTGTAAGTCAATTCTATGTGAAGATTGTCTGCGTAAACCTGAACAGGTCCAACCCAGTCTTACTGTGAGACCGTGTTGGGTCACGCTTGTGCGTAATCATATGCGCTCATGAGCTGAAGAGGATGTGAGATTCTGGGATTCTCCTCAGACGGCTCCTGGATGTGTCGCACATTGGAGACAGGAACAAGCGCTATTCAGCCAAAGTTTCATAATCAGGGAACATTTTCCAAGTGACAAGTCTCTCTGAGAGACAGGGTTTGGAAAACACTCGCTTCAGTGGGAAGCTTCCCGCATGCGCTTCTGCGACGCTCGGATCCTGCACATCTTTTAACACATTGGTCAGGATTGACGCACTTTGTTTTCATTTAGTTGGTTAAAAAAAGTCGGGCTTGGGCTCGGGCCGGGCCAAAGAATCCTGAAAACCTTTTCAGGCCGGGTCGGGCTGGGGCTCCACCCCCTCGGGCCGGGCCGGACACGGGCTCAGATTTTAGGCCCGTGCAGGGCTCTAGTTACAAAACTTTGACCGTTCATAAATGTTGTTGTTTTACACTTTTACCTCTTCACTCATTGTCAGTGATGAAAGGGAGTCTGATGTGTTTGTCATTTTGTTGGAGGTTCTGCTCCCAGGGATTTTTGACCATAATGGCTAGCCGTTGGTAAGATTTTACTCGAACACAAAAATATTGCTTGCTTGCAATGATTCAGGTATGTACTGCCCCCCCCCACCCCACCCCACCCCCCGGCCCCATTGCCAGGGAAGATACACACTGTCACTTTAAGTGTAGCAACACAATTTAATCCCATGAGGTTATTTAATATTGTGTTCTGTACGCTAACAAACCCCTGGCACTTTTTGTAAAGTTATATTCATTATTTATTATGTTCCTGTTTTCCTTTGCTTGTTTATCCTCCTTGTAATGTTGCAAGTTGGAAATAAAGTTTGAAAAAAAATCACATGTGCTGTAAAACGGATTCACAACCCATGTCAAAAATCATTTCTAAATAAAAGTTGTTCCGAATTATTTTAACTTTACAGTCATGTAGTCTTTTCTTTGTAAAGATTATTTTAACCTTTTTATTTTACACTTTTAATACTTGAAACTTAATATTAGTACTGTATTAGTTATTTAATACAGTCAGACCCTATTCTGGGTAACTTTTACATTTAGACCACTTCCATCTATTTAAACATGTATTTTTGATACTTCGAACGATTGTTTACACATATTCTCCATTTAAATTAACTGGTTATTATCTTTTTCTAAACTCTTTAAACTACCACTTTTTTTACCCCAAAAATAAAAGTTTCAGATTTGTATACATTTCAAATCTGCTTTTGTATAAATTTAAACCCCTTTCTTGTCAGAATCCACATTTTTAAAACATTAGATGTTTTTCTCTTTCTGCCTTTTTGCATCAAAGCCTGAATAAAATCAAAAACCAGGAGATAAAGACGCAACAATCACATCTGTCTGGAGCTTTTAATTCTCAGCTCGTGTCCCAGTTTGGCTGCAATCTCCTAAAGCTCTCCTCTCATAAGCCCCCCCCCCCCCCCACACACACACACACACACTTCTGGTGAATAATTGACGAGTTCTCCCTCCTCTTTTCCATCACTCGTTCTTTGTGGTGTCTCTCGTCAGGTCCTCCAGGCTGTGACAAGGCCCCCCCACCTGCTGCTGGGCAGTCAGTGATGAGAGTCAGCAGGTACAGACACACGGACGGCGAGCAGCTGCTGGTAAGACTCTTATTGTTTCGTCAGGAGGGAACAGGAGCTGCTTTAACTTTATTTAAACATTAATACTTTTTGAAAATTGGAGAATTAAAGATATGTTTGGTGTAAAAAAATTACATTTACTGGAAGTTTCAGGAGACTTCACCATGAACAAAAAAAATCATTGTATTTCTGGCTTTAGGAAAACGGCATTTCTTTGTAAGAAATTCACCATGAAACGTAGTTAGAGAGTTGTTATATTTGATTGTGTTTTATAAAATCTGTAAGTTTCTTATCAAGCTGATTAAAGTTTATGTTTTTGTTGTTTACTTTATTCTCCGAGTCATGAAGGCTCAGATTAGATTCTAGCTGATTATGTCATGAAGGCATTTCTAAATGAAAGTTGTGTAATTCCTTGAAGAAATCCATGCCCCCCAAACACACACACACACACACACACACACACACACACACACACACACACACACACACACACACACACACACACACACACAAACACACACACACACACACACACACACACACACATCATTTCCCTACACTGCTATTGTAAGAATGTTTTTAATCATTCTCATTTTTAGACATTTTGTTTTATTTTTAGTCTAAAAACAAAATAAATTCCTCTCTAGAAAAATAAAATTACATAAATTACGATAAATGTTGTTAAATATGAAGAGGGGAAAAAATGGGGTAAGCAAAAGTTGCTTGGCTAGAAATCTTAAAGGTAGTGGCCAGACCCGGCATTAAAATTGTATAAATACAGTATAGACTTTACCATCTATATAAACACGAACTGGGTTCAGTTTTTCATTTTGTTAAGAAATTTAGTCATAAATCATTACAGAAAATCAAAATTCTCTCCTCCTGGCAGTGAAGAACTGTGTTTTACATATAATCACACACGTCATACTAGGTAGCTGCTGTTGCTAGCATGGTAAATCACTGTTGTAAGCAAGGCGCCTGGACATTGAGAAACACCCTGTATTTTGTTTACTATCGTGATCCTAATTAAAACAGAGAATTGTGTTTACAGCTGCAGCTAAAGGACTGCAGAGAAGGTCATTGGCTGCAAACTCCCCTCCATTCAAGATCTGTACACCTCTAGGACATTGAGGCGTGCAGGTCGGATAATAGCTGACTTGTGTCACCCTGGACACAGTCTCTTCGACTCGCTCTGGCAGAAGGCTCAGATCCATTCGGAACAGAACCTCTCGCCACAAAAACAGTTTCTTCCCCTCTGCAGTTGGACTTTTGAATGAAAATCCTAGGGCAGCCCACTCAAGTTGATTGGTCCCAGTCACATGACCCGTTGCTGTGCTTGAACCATTCAGCAAACACTCAGATTAATACCTACACGGAGTAGATAGCTGCTTCTCTAATTCTTGCCACTTTTTACATTAATAATTTTATCATGAGTGTTTTATTAGTTCTTATATTTTCTTATTTCTTAATTTTTTTCTATCTTACCTTCTGCACCAAAATACCGCAGCAATTTCCTAATGTTGTGACTTGGCACATATATGGCAACAAAAACTTCTGATTCTGATTCTCCTACTCGTATTTTTAGCTAACATAGGTTCAATCTAAAAAAATAACCTACATCTATAAATCCATTTAGAATCACACCGGTACTTCTGGGCTCCAGCTGGTGAGTCCCGTTAGCATGACTGCTGCAGCACTAGCCGTGTTAGCTCCGGTGTTACACCAAATTCTGCGACCCTTCACAACCGCCTTTTTAAAAGAAATAGGAAACACCCCAGTGGCCAAGCTAGAGTTGAAAATGTCTAAGATGGCGGGGCCCAAATAGGGATGATATCACCCACCATCCTCGGGGGGAGAGGGTCCTCAGGAGAACCTGCTGGCTTCATATTTCCAATCAGATCTGCCAGTTCACTAAGAGAGATGGGAGCAAAGTTAATGAGGGAGGTTCTGGTGGTACATCAGGACAGCCAGATCCTGGTTGCACAAGACGATCCCTAATGTCCCAGACTTTGTGAAGAAAGAAGGATCAACACTACCAAACTTAAAATTTGAATTTTTTAACTAAAAATAAGATAAAATGTCTAAAAACTTGAATTTTTTTTTCTTAGAAATTATTTTTTTACAGTGTTTGTTATTTTTTGCAGTGTTTGTTAACACTGCAAAAAATAATTTGTTTGTTAACACAAAGAGGCAAAAACATTATCACCCACCTTTCATTTTTCAGTGGTGACAACTTTGCTGCTGTTTCAGGAGCGGTTTGAACCATGAAGGAGCTGCTGCTTGTCCTGCTGGTGACGGAGGTGTCCTCCAGGTCCAATAACACCCGGTGTAGGCTGGGCTGTGACTGTCGTAGAGATCTGAGGTTCACCATCTGCTCCAGAGCTAACCTCACCCACCCTCCCAGTGGAGTCCCCCCCTCCACCGAGCTCCTGGACCTGTCAGACAACTTCATCTCCATCATCCCCAAAAAGGTCTTCAGCAAGAACCGCAAGCTGAGGATTCTGCTGCTGCAGAACAACAACATCAGGGTGGTGGAGGATGGAGGCTTCTCACAGATGGAGTTTCTGCAGAAGTTGGACCTTAGCTGGAACCGGATCTCTACCCTGACTGAGGGCTTCTCCATTGGGCTGACCTTCCTGCAGGAGCTGCAGCTGTCCCACAATCAGTTGGCCAACCTGGACAGCCGCTGCTTCTTCCATCTGGATGGCCTGCAGAAGTTGAATCTGACCAACAACAGCATCCACGCCGTCCAGATGAGGTCCTTCTCGTCCATGAGCAGCCTGCGGCAGCTCCACCTGCAAGACAACCAGCTGACGTCTCTGAGGAGCGGTACCTTCTCCATGCTGCGCTCCCTGGAGGTCCTCAACCTGGCAGGGAACCAGATCAGTGACATGGACCTGTCTGTTTTCAGTCCGCTCACCAGCATGACGGTTCTGAACCTGGCCCACAACCAGCTGTCCACAGTCACCTTCAAAACGTTCCTGAGCATCCACGCCTACAGCACCCACATCCAGTTGCAGGGGAACCCCTGGAACTGTGACTGTGACCTGCACAGAGTATTCCGGAAGCTCCGGAGCATCCAGAGGCTCTTCCTGGACGACTACTCCAACCTGACTTGTATGGAGCCGCTTGTCCTCAGGAATGACCTGCTGATGGACGTGGACAGCGAGCTGTGCATCGCTGAGACCGTCACCGTGCTCATCATCACCATCACCGTGGTGATCACCGTGCTGGCAGCCATGCTTATGGGCGAGAGGAAGAAGAAGAAGAGGAGGAAGGGACTTCACTGGACGCAGCAGGGGGACTTTTCAGGCGATTCAGACTTCTGAAACACGTCTTCTTCATCCTCCTCTCAGAAGTCTTCATCTCCTCTCTCCAACCGACCTCGGAGAAACGAGTTACCTGATTCTGTCTGGCTGGATTCCTGCTAGAATTTACCGTGTCCTCTACTAAAATGATAATGTGATTTATTTGGACACAAACTAGGATATTGTGATGTTTAAAGGGTTTGTGGCTCCCCTTGCAGGTCAAACCGACTCGCTGCACTGGAAAACCTTGACCTGGAGCAGACGGGTGTGGTTTGAACCTTTTATGAGGCCTTCCAGGAACACTTGTCCGGAATCCCTTCTCACCTGTTTCCACACCTTTGTTGGCGTTGGTGTCACCATGCCACGCCGTCCTGTTCTGATATTAGAAACACTCTCAGTTCTGTCTAAAATCTGTATCTGCATCTTTTTCTGTCGCATGTTTGATGAGTTTTTATTAAACAGAAATATTGTTTTATTCCCACAAATTGTGAATAAAGTTGAAATGTTTTCTAGGTGACAAAGATGAGTCAAGGAGCATTTCGGAAATTAAACTCTCCAGGCTTTCATCTTTTGGATTATAGAACGCTTTTTATCCGCTGATTTGCAAATATGTGAATTCACCTCATGGCCGTAATTTATTTGGGGGGGGGGGGGCACGTGCCCCCCACTTTTTCCAAAGTCAAGTTTTGACCCCTGCAATTTTACCATCCAAAAACAATATTACGCTACATTAAATTGACACTGGTTGAGCTCTAGGACCAAGCTGAAAACAACCGTTTGTGTTGAAGCCTGTTTCCCATTACAGCATACTGTAAAGATACCCCCCCCCCCCACACACACACACACACACTTCTAAAGTGAAAATTACGTCCATGATTCACCTGTACAAATTACATCATGTTCTAAAATCCAAATTAAACAATTTTTGTATCCTGTAAAAATTCAGAAATGTTTATTTTTCGTTCTCTTGAATTTATTTCTTTGATGAGGACAACTTATTATTTAGTGTTCCTATAAAAATAAAAATAATTTTGACATCTTGTTGTGCGACTGATTCTTCTGTCATATTGCTGCTGATTTTATATTTTACTTTAAAAAATTGTTCCTTGTTGAGTCTTTAAATCATAAACTTAAATATTAGCAGAGTGTTTCTTTAATGATTTGCTGTTATTAGCGGAAGCTTTTTGTGAGGCAGCGGAGACGCCCAGGCGGAGCCGCTCTTCTGCTGCTTCACCGACACCAGTCACACCAACCGGATGTCGACAAAATAAAAAAAAATTTTTTGTTGACCCTAAAAATGTAAAAAATGTCAAATTAATGAATATTCTTTAAATTTGAATCACTTTAAGTTAGTTTCTCTTCAGTCTTCTTCTTCTTCTTCTTCTTCTTCTTCTTCTTCTTCTTCTTCTTCTTATTATTATTATTATTATTATTGTTGTTATTATTATTATTATTAGTAGTAGTAGTAAATCATGTGAACTTTCTTCAATTAACCAATTTAATGTTCTGTTAATTATGTGGCAAGCAGCCATTTAAGATCAAATGTGATCATTTTTAGATGACAAAAACAACATAATCATTAAATTTGAAAAATCTATAGCATCTTACTGAGTGAATATAAAGTTACAGGGCCATTATGAAGCATGCTGAAGTGTATTTCTGATTTTAAAAGGTTATACATTTTTCCTATTTGTTGTAGAAAGCTTCTTGAACAGCCTACGCTCACTGAATAACAGCTGTTATCCTTCATGATTGATACATGGATTTAGGAGACTGGGGGTTTTTAAAGAGGGAAGATAACCATTGAGGTTTTTTTTTGGCTAATTTTAGATTGGCTTTAATCTCATCTACTTGTTGGTAAAAATTCAATTTATCTAAAAAAATCCTGTTTAGTAAACCATTATTACGTAGTAATTTATGGGTGAGTTGGAAAAAACGACATTTAAATACGCTTACACAGAAACACTTTAAAATGAGCGTAATGTTCCTTTAAAGACAGTTTTATTTTGGCAAGTTCCACCGGAAGCAGTTAGCTCGCTCGCGCCAGACTTGACGGTTGAGCGTCTCAGTCGGGACAGGTGGGATCTCCGGTCTGACGAGCCGCTGTTGTCCTCACAACAAAGCAACCGGGCCGGAAGAACAAAAAGATTCGGCCCTGAAACAAAAACATGGACACATCGCGGTGACGTTAGTCGTTTTTTCCACAGAAAGTCGCAAGTTTAGCTCCTTTTATGAGTGAAAATGCCTCTCCGAGCGGAGATGAATTCAACTGAAACTGCGCAGTCATAGCTTAATGGGATCTTTAACCTGAACAGGTAATACCTTTGTTTTAGTTTTCTTTCTTATGTTGTATTTTATTTGAAGTTGAGCTATAATATTTAAGCGGTCTCGTTCTGGTTTCAGGTGGTAAAAGTCCCTATTTGTGCCACTTCCTGCTAGAGACGAGTTTTCTGGCCCCAGCAGTGGCAATCTGCCACTTTTTTGAATAATGTTCGACTGAAAGGTTAAAAAAGAGACATGTCAGAGACTTCCGCATCAGGCCGTCAGTGACAGACAGGCGGGCCATAGGGTCTCAGCATGTGGACCAAGCTTTTTCTCTAACAAAATGTGATTTTAGACCAAAAATACTTGACTTACTTGTATTAAAGCGGGTTGAAACAAAAAGGAACACACGAGGGTCTGTTTTAGTTCTATTAAATGTGTCAACTGTCTTTTAAATTAGATATTTTTTACTCATGAGACCAAAAATGGTTGTTTTGACATGGGAAATGTGGATTAAATAGGTATAGATTTACATTTATGGTCTTTTTTTCATTCAATTCTCATTTAACCATATCATAAAAAAATGTATGCAATAAATCTGCACAAAATGATAATAAAGGCTCTAAAAATGTTTAAAACTACTCTATTTTATTCATTTGAAACCCCTAAAAAATGAAATAACAGAACAGGGTTTGGTAGCAGGCGATCAAAGGTCTGTAATATAAAGACTGGTGATTTCTAAACCAGATGAATGGCAAAGCATTAACTATTCTTCAGAAGGCATGTGTTCAGTATTTAAAACTTCTCATTTCCCAGCAGATCCGTCTATTTATACTCATATTAGCTGTTGGTTATTCGTCCCACAGACCCGAGTGTTGACGTCAGGAAGTCTAAAGAGAATTAAGTGATATAATAATGAGAGAACAGGATCAACAGAGCATTTATTTTTAATTTTTACTTTAATTCAACAGCTTGTTCACACATAATTGTTAGTTTCTTTGGTAGAGGTGTGCTGGACAGTCCGCTGTAGGGGAAGTTCAGCATCGTTTGGTTGTTAAATGCTCTGCTGCTTCATCGCTCATTTCCTTATCCTCCAGATATGGCAGCTGATGACAAGGTTGCCATCCTAACGGACGATGAAGAGGAGCAGAAGAGGAAGTATGTTCTTTCTGAGCCATTTAACACCCTGTCCATGGTGCAGCAGGCGGGCGAGCCGACGCCAGCGCCGCCCGAACAGCTGCCGACCCCCCAACCAGACCCCGTGGACTGCTGTGAGAGGATGTGCCTTCGGGTTAACAGTCACCTCCTCGTCTCTAAAGTCTTCTACTTCTTCTTCTATGCCGCCTATGGCTCTCTGCACCCCCTGCTGGCGGTTTACTACAAACAGCTGGGTATGTCGCCCAGCCGAAGCGGTCTGCTCGTTGGTATAAGATACTTTATTGAGTTCTGCAGCGCCCCCTTCTGGGGCGTTGTGGCGGACAGATTTAGGAAAGGGAAGGTCGTCCTGCTGTTTTCTGTTTTCTGCTGGTTGGTGTTCAACTGTGGCATCGGTTTTGTCAAACCAGCGGAGATGAAGTGTGAGAAGGTCCCCTCCGCTGTGACCACTGCACCAGCTGTGCCAACAACCACTCCTCCAGCTAACGTGACTCTTCCAGCTAACTCCACCAACCACACCAGGAGTCGGAGGAGTGCTATAGACCTCCTACGGCTCACAGAAGTCCTGGACTCTTCCTTTAGCGTGATCCATCGATACCAACGAAGTATTGATGCCAATGCAACTTCAGCTCCCAGCACCACTGCACTCACACCAAACTCCGCCCTCCAGACCACCACCACCTCTTCCTCCTCACCCACCTCCCCGGCTCCAACTACTAAGAGCGAGTACCGCATCGTCTACAATGAGGACCAGGTGCAGAACATCTTCCTGATCATCCTGCTTGTCATCATCGTGGGCGAGTTCTTCAGCGCTCCTGCCGTCACCATCGTGGACACCGTCACCCTGCAGTACCTGGGTAAAGCCCGGGACCGCTATGGCCTGCAGAGGATGTGGGGCTCTCTGGGCTGGGGTCTGGCCATGCTGCTGGTGGGCATCTGGATCGATCACACGCACATACGCGTCTTGATCGACGGCATCGGCTGCGTCATGCCTGAATACCGCCTCCACAACTACCAGCTCGCCTTCATCGTCTTCGGCGTGCTGATGGGCGTGGCCCTCATTGTGGCCACTCAGTTTTATTTTGAGAAAGGCAGCGAGTACCGACAGAAGATCCCAGAAGTCCCCGAGAACTCGGCGAACCCTCAGCCCCCTCTTGAGTCCAGCTCCCCAGACCAGACACCCGTCAGCCCCGAGGGCACCCAGGAGTTCCAGTACTGGGACCTGCTGAGGCTGCTCTGCACGGTGCGCTACAGCTCCATACTCTTTGTCGCCTGGTTCATGGGCTTCGGCTACGGCTTCGTCTTCAGCTTCCTGTACTGGCACCTGGAGGACCTGAAGGGGACGACCACGCTGTTTGGGGTCTGCTCCGTCCTGAGCCACGTGTCTGAGCTCGGGGCTTACTTCACCAGCCACAAGTTCATCGAGCTGGTGGGACACGTCAGGTAAGGAACCAGACGATAAGTCAAACACGTTATTGACCACTAACCACGGAAACATTTGTCTGTTTCGTCTGTGAAGGTTCTCAGTCATCCAGGTCATTGTAGTCTAATGAGCTTTGAAAGAAAAGCGTCTGGACTTCTTTGAGTTGCTTGAAGACGTTTCACCTCTCATCCGAGAGGCTTCTTCAGTTCTAAGGTCAAATGGTGGAGAGTCCCAGATTTAAACCCAGTGGGAGTTTCCCCCCGAAGAGGTGGCTCATGTGTTTATGTAGAAGATCATCAGGGGGTCTTTTGTTCCCTCTTCAGGGGGGAAACTCCCACGGGGTTTAAATCTGGGACTCTCCACCATTTGACCTTAGAACTGAAGAAGCCTCTCGGATGAGAGGTGAAACGTCTTCAAGCAACTCAAAGAAGTCCAGACGCTTTTCTTTCAAAATTTGTCCGTTTCATTTTATCGCCATTACAAGCGATGCTGCATTAGATTTTTCGATGGTTCTGGTTTTATTTACATTTATCGTCTCAGTGCTGTGGGATCAAAGTTAGGATGAACGTCCACCAGTTCTGGCTGCACCTGTTAGTTTACTTCTCATGTGGCAGCCAGAAGAACACGTTCAGAGACTGGTTTGACGAAAAACGACTCATCTGAATCAGTCGGTTGGGTTTTACGATCACAACGTTTTCTCTGATTCTGAGCCACGGTTCTCCTGAGTGTTTATTGTCTTGGATAAACTCGCCGATGGTTCTGGTCGTTCTGCTCTTTGTCCGTCCAGCTGCGTTAGCCGAACAGTGACGAGCAAGCTCTCGTCTCTGACACAAAGCCATCATTGATGCTCCGGCCTCGCGTGTCTGAATGTTGGGCCGGGCCGAGCTGCCAGCAGGGACATCTGAGAGAGACGTGTTGAATTTCAGGCCGCAGCTCTTAAACCCTAATGGCTGTGCTGCTGTGGCCTCAGTGACGTCCGTTCACTCTGCTGTAGCCACTCCTGCTGAATCGTGTCTGATCCTCGTCGGTGCATCTCCACGATTAGCTGGTATTTCCACAGAGCCGGTGCATATTTAATTACATTGTGACTCGAATTATTTATTTAGTGTTTCTGAAGCTGCAAACAGAACGAGCAGAAGCAAAGGCAACATTATTAATCTAGATAAGATTTGACATTTTAAACCAGGGGTGTCAAATATGCGGCCCGCGGGCCGGATCTGGCCCGCAAGCGGGTTTAATCCGGCCCACGAGGTGGTTGTGTAAACTTTATTTTCATGCTTTACAATGTAGAGTGAAAACAAACTTATCTTTGTGAGCAAGTTTTCTCTAATGAGTATAAATAAAACAAAGCTGCGCTCAAGGCCCACACAAGAACTTGAGTCACATCCTGAAGTTGGCCGCCACTCAGGATGTGACTTGATGTTGATGTGCTGGTGAAAGCTAAAAGATGTAAAGTAGAATGAGTCAAATATACTTTAAGTGCTGCATGAAACTGATCTTGCCATGTGATCTGTAAGCTCTTTGAATCACTAAGAAATGTTTTTTTTATTTGTTGATTTTAGTTTTTTTTTTCTTTCAAATTTTCAAGTACACTTCAGGTGTTGTACTTGTACTACACTGTCCTCAGGCTCTAGCCTTGTTTTATATTGATTGTATTAAAACAAAGAAAACAATCTGAAGTTTTTTTTTTTAATTCACCAGTCCGGCCCACTTGGGACTAGATTTCCCTCAATGTGGCCCCTGAGCTAAAATGAGTTTGACACCCCTGTCTTAAACTAACCGTAGTTGTAACATAACAATAAAATCTACCTGGATTACTAAAAAAATCCAGAGACATCTGAACACCCGTCAAATAAAACAATAAAAGCTTTCCTCTTCTCTAGATTATAAACGTATTCATGCGACTCTGTTGCTGTCATGTAAAAGTCCACTTTAACAGAACGAAATAACGGGTTTTTATGGAGTTACCCTCGGCGTTCTGTGTTGTTTTAACCAGATAAAACCAAAGCAGAGATCATAAACAGTCCCTGGTTCTACTGAGCTTCTGTGGAAGCATCCATGTTCGCTGTGTGGGAGCACGAAGGTCACCCCGGTCCTGAAAAGGGTTTGTGTTTACAGAACAAAAGTCCGAAAACAAACAGGCAAAGGGCGGAGAGGTCGGCTTTAATCCACCAGCCCCTCGACCTGTCTCACCTCTACAGTCCTGGGAGCTAAAGCATCTTAAATAATTTAGTTATGGATCGCCGCAACACTAAATCAGGATGTAAAACATTTAATCAGAGTTATTCCAAGTGTTTATAACGAGGACACGGTCAGTTCTTTATGTAAACAAGGTCAGCTTCACACACAACATTTATATTTATTTATGTTTATCAGACGTAGAGTTAAAGTATAGTTTAATATTATAAGTGTGGGACTCAAGTCTCTCCTGTGTGTTTGTTGACGTTCTGTTTTCCCCAGCTGGCCTGAGTCTGACTCATGTTTCTGCTGAGTGGAGGTTAGCTCACAACCACTTCCTCTCTGTTCAGTGAGACTTATCCGGTGTGTTCTCGTTGCTCTGATTGGTCAAACACCAACAGAACCTACTGAGTCCTTGTTCTGCACAATCTTAGATGTTGTCCTCCTCGTTCTCCTGCAGCAGGCCTCTTCCCGTCAGCTCACCCTCTCGGGGTTTCAGCTTTTACTGTTCTTATATAACTGTGTGAATGCTCTTCCTGTTCTGATGAAGGTTGTCCGGCCGTCCATCTTCTGGCCTTGTTTAATCAAACGTCCATGAGCAAACAGAAAACGATCTCTTCTGGTGGTGAGCAGAAGATGGAGTGTGGGTGTGTCCTCGTTTTGAGACGGCTGCTAACAGGAACGCTCCTGCTTGGAGCTTCACACTCGGGTCGTTTTGTGTTTACACTTACAAAGATGAATCGTGCAGACATCTTTTCTGCTTTTATTCTCACTTTTTGTTTGGATAAAGTCTCTGAGGCGTCTTGAGTAGGGCAACATAAATGATGCAAAAATGAAGAGAGAGACTTTGTTTCCTAGTTTTCAGATTAAAGTCAAAAAGTTGTGAAAATAGTAAAATACATCCAGAATAAAGTCTAAATGTGTATGAAAGGGTTAAAATGTTCTTGTTCAAGGAAATACACAAAATACCCTGCAGGAAGGTAAATTACTCATAGAACTTCCTTCAGTCTTTCAAAATAAGAATCCTGTGTAACTGAGTTGTCGTGGTTTATTCATGCAAGGCAACATGGGAATTGTAGTTCTTTGGTGTAGTGTAACACTGAGCCTGTCTCTCGTCCCCAGAGTGCTGTACATCGGCCTGGCCTGCAACACCGCTCGTTACCTGTACATCTCCTACCTGAAGAACGCCTGGATCGTCCTGCCCATGGAGGTCCTTCAAGGTAAATGCCTTTATTTATTAGCAGGGTGAGGCGGCACTCTTGAACGCAGCTGGAACTGAACGCTTGTCCAACAGGTCGCCCATCAGGCGTCTGGAGTTTCCTCCTGCAGATCAGAAGGATCTGCTGTGAAAACAGACACTCCCTCTTAGTACAAGAGCTCAGTCAGCTGAATTATTTTACAGCAGCATTCCAAAAAGGAGTCCAGCTCTTCCAGGATCCCATTTGGGATTTTATTATTCGATCGCTTTGAGTCTTTGGGTTTTCATCAAGTGGAGAAAAACTCATTTCAGAAACTGAAATGGAGGTTTCACTCATAAATCAAGCTTTTAAATGTTAACATTTTCCGTACATGTGCAGTGGTCTATAGGAATGAATGCCTTGTAAGTCGTCTTCTGGAGGGGAAAGCACTTGTTCTCCTGGTTGAGGACGTAGAGTCAGCTGGAGGAGAAAGTAGCTTCAGATGACAGGATTTGGAGTCTTATTTCCTGATATTTAGAAATCTCACTTCTGATTGGCTAACAGCTACATGACTACTACTGACTCTGTTTATGTTGCGACACAGATGTTATATGCCCACAAATAACACAAGCCTGGAGGAGTTTTGCTGTGTGGTGAAGTTACTAATGCTAACGGTTAGCTTCTACTAGCCGTAGGGATGGGTACCTTTCACATTTGAATTGGTTTGGTACCAATTCCTGGTACCTAAGAATCGGTACCGGTACTGATTGTCGAACTGTTTCGCCACCGTGTGTTGTCCATTGGGGGGGTGGGGGGTGGGGGGGGGGGGGTCATTGCGAACTTACCTCGAGGCTTGGCACTGGAATTTAAGCCGTGGCGCAGTGCCATGCCTGAGCCTCTGTAGGGGAAACACTGGATTTCACAAATGATGTCTGTGAACTTTAAAAACGCGTTTTGATACCAAGAAAGAATTTCTTTTTGAACGAGAGAAAACGCTATTTTAGATTTTGTGTGAAAAGAAGTCCAGGACTACAAATGCACATCACCAAAGTGACGTCATCAAACCAGACACGGAGAAAAACCGAGGAAAAATGGCTGTGAGTTCAGCAAACTTCAAATCCTTCCTTCAGGAAGAAAGAGCCACCATAAATCTGGCCATGTGGTGAGTAGCAGCTAAGCTAGGGGAGAGGAGATTCTCCGGTGACGTCACATATGCGACATGCCGATGTCTAATTTGTAGTCATGCTAATTAAGAATTTTTACAAGCTGATACATCTCAAAGTACGCTACTGACGTGGTCGAAACACCCATCATTACTTCTCATTTAAATTGAAATTCAACATATGTGCGATCCAGGGCGTAAGGCAAAGCGGATTAGAAAATGGCGTTTTTAGCCCCGTTGCATTAATGTTTTTGTTCTTCTGGGAACCCGTGAGCCGACCAGAAAGGGAGGAGACGTGGGCTCACTTTTGTATTCTACATACCAACAATAACATCCCTGAACTCATTAAAATGTTGCAGAAGATTTTTGTAGCATTTAAAATAAACTAAACAAAAGCAGAGTAAGAGCCGGTGGATATTTAGAGACATCTGAGGGAAGAATAAACTTATGAACTTTTTCTAAAGGCTCTAAGTTTCCTTTCTGATCTGAGCTAAGAAACTAGACCGAGTGTGGTGAGAGCACACACCGGAGGCTACCAGGAAGCTTCAGGCAAAAGTCTTCAGTGCAGCGATTTGAACTCTCCTTGTTCTACAAGCCCACGCCGTCTCTTTGTGGTCGGGTAATGTTGAGTGCTTTATCCGCAAACAGAAAGTGATGCTGGGGGGTAATGTGAGCCTGACTAAAGTTCACCGTAACAGCACTGATGATTGTTGTGTAAATAGTCTTCTAGTTCTGGGGTAATACAACATTTATTACCTGTGTGTGTGTGTGTGTGTGTGTGTGTGTGTGTGTGTGTGTGTGTGTGTGTGTGTGTGTGTGTTTTCAATTCAACTTTATTTATAAAGCACCTTCCACAACCTTATCGGAAGCCCAAGGGGCTGAACACCATCATAAAAACATGAGCATATGTTTGTTTGTTTGTTTGTTTTGTCCAGGTGTGACCCACGCCTCGGTTTGGGCGGCCTGTATCTCCTTCCTGAGCGCCGCTGTCCCTCCGGCTCTGAGGACGTCTGCACAGGGGATCTTGCAGGGTCTGCACCTTGGACTTGGCCGGGGTTGTGGAGCCATGGTGGGAGGAGTGTTCGTCAGTTATTTTGGTACGAAAGACTCAATGCATCTGTAAAGTAGTAATTATTGTATGTATTTGGGTTCTTTTAAAGCTTAATATACTACCCTACACTTTGACCAATGTGATGTGAATTTCCATATAAATATGGAAATCCAGTCTGATTGGTCTTTAATGTTTAACCAGAAGATTTAGAATTCTTTGTTTATTCAGGGATTGTAGGACACTTCGTATTAATTCAAGAAGAGAGTCAGGTTTATTAAAAGTAAGAATTTATTTTCCAAACAATTAAACATGACAAGTTAACTAATATTACTGTGATGGATGGATCTAGGTAGATGGAATATGATGTATGGTGACTATGTGTGAATGTGAGGTTATCAGAATCTTTGTGTCTAGAAGAACTGAGTTCTGGGTGTAAAAAGGAAAGAACCTGGTCTGCATTAACTAGGAAGTTTATTCTTTTCAAACCCTCATCAGACGCAATTCATGTTGTGTCTACCTCACCCTTTCGGAAGACCCTCTTCGCGGATCCAGAGTTCAGAAAGGTGGGGTGACCTCGGGGCACCGAGGTTTGTAGAATAACCGCTGCACTGACTCCAGTCCAGAGATGTTTCCGGGTCACAACAGATGGATGGAATCGTTTGCGTCTAGAAGGACTCTTAGGGAGTCGGAACAGTATCAGCTTGTTCTGCAGGAATCGTTTGCTGAGTCAGCGGTAGGCAGCTTTTAGCAGGGTTTTGACAGCTTGTCAAAATGCTCTGGGTTAAAGAGGTGTCGCTCCGGACGGCCGTAGCTTTCTCTAGAACTCACTCACCGAGAAGTGAGCTCTGTTTTAATATTCTCATATTATGAATTTGTGTCCAATTGGAACCTCAGAACATCACGCCTTCTTTCAGATACCGGATGCTCTCATTTGGGGTAAGGAAATATCTATCTGTCATGAGTTTAACTTAACTTTAATTTATCTCTAATGCACCTTGTGTCTGGGTGTAGATGATGATTGCCTTGTCATATCAAACATTACTGATTACCATATATATACAGTGGGGCAAAAAAGTATTTAGTCAGCCACCGATTGTGCAAGTTCTCCCACTTAAAATGATGACAGAGGTCAGTAATTTTCATCAACTGTGAGAGACAGAATGTGAAAAACAATCCATGAATTCACATGGCAGGATTTTTAAAGAATTTATTTGTAAATCAGGGTGTAAAATAAGTATTTGGTCAAGAACAAAAATTCAACTCAATACTTTGTAACATAACCTTTGTTGGCAATAACAGAGGTCAAACGATTACTATAGGCCTTTACCAGATTTGCACACACAGTAGCTGGTATTTTGGCCCATTCCTTCATGCAGATCTTCTCGAGAGCAGTGATGTTTTGGGGCTGTCGCCGAGCAACACAGACTTTCAACTCCCTCCACAGATTTTCTATGGAGTTGAGGTCTGGAGACTGGCTAGGCCACTCCAGGACTTTCAAATGCTTCTTACGGCGCTACTCCTTTTTTGCCCAGGTGGTGTGTTTGGGATCATTGTCGTGTTGGAAGACCCAGCCACGTTTCATCTTCAAAGCGCTCACTGATGGAAGGAGGTTTTGGCTCAGAATCTCACGATACATGGCCCCATTCATTCTGTCCTTAACACAGATCAGTCGTCCCGTCCTCTTAGCAGAAAAACAGCCCCAAAGCATGATGTTCCCACCCCCATGCTTCACAGTAGGTATGGTGTTCTTGGGATGCAACTCAGTATTCTTCTTCCTCCAAACACGACGAGTTGAGTTTATACCAAAAAGTTCTACTTTGGTTTCATCTGACCACATGACATCCTCCCAATCCTCTGCTGTATCATCCATGTGCTCTCTGGCAAACTTTAGACGGGCCTGGACATGCACTGGCTTCAGCAGCGGAACACATCTGGCACTGCAGGATTTGATTCCCTGCCGTTGTAGTGTGTTACTGATGGTGACCTTTGTTACTGTGGTCCCAGCTCTCTGCAGGTCATTCACCAGGTCCCCCCGTGTGGTTCTGGGATTCTTGCTCACCGTTCTCATGATCATCTTGACCCCACGGGATGAGATCTTGCGTGGAGCCCCAGATCGAGGGAGATTATCGGTGGTCTTGTATGTCTTCCATTTTCTGATAATTGCTCCCACAGTTGATTTTTTCACACCAAGTTGCTTGCCTATTGTAGATTCACTCTTCCCAGTCTGGTGCAGGTCTACAATTATTTTCCTGGTGTCCTTCGAAAGCTCTTTGGTCTTGGCCATAGTGGAGTTTGGAGTCTGACTGTTTGAGGCTGTGGACAGGTGTCTTTTATACAGATAATGAGTTCAAACAGGTGCCATTAATACAGGTAATGAGTGGAGGACAGAAAAGCTTCTTAAAGAAGACGTTACAGGTCTGTGAGAGCCAGAGATTTTCCTCATTTGAAGTGACCATATACATATTTTCCACCCTGATTTACAAATAAATTCTTTAAAAATCCTGCCATGTGAATTCATGGATTTTTTTTCACATTCTGTCTCTCACAGTTGAAGTGTACCTATGATGTAAATTACTGACCTCTGTCATCATTTTAAGTGGGAGAACTTGCACAATCGGTGGCTGACTAAATACTTTTTTGCCCCACTGTAAATCATTCAATATAATAATTCATTTCAAACTTCAGTAATTCAAACACAGATCAATCAACCTTATTGATTTAGCACAGATTAATGAAGACATTATTATTTTTCCATTTCACGAATGATCAACTCATCCATCCATCCATTTTCATCCGCTTATCTGGAGTCGGGTCGCGGGGGCAGCAGCCTAAGGCGAGAGGCCCAGACTTCCCTCTCCCCAGCCACTTGTTCCAGCTCCTCCGGGGGAATCCCAAGGCGTTCCCTGGCCAGGTGAGAGACTTAGTCCCTCCACCGTGGCCTGGGTCTACCTTTAGGTCTCCTCCCGGTTGGACGTGCCCGGAAAACCTCAGCAGGGAGGCGTCCAGGAGGCATCCTGACCAGATGCCCGAGCCACCTAAACTGGCTCCTCTCGATGTGGAGGAGCAGCGGGTCTACTCCAAGCCCCTCCCGAATGGCCAAGCTTCTCACCCTATCTCTAAGGGAAAGCCCAGCCACTCTTCGGAGAAAACTCATTTTGGCCGCTTGTATCCGCAATCTCGTTCTTTCGGTCACTACCCAAAGCTCATGACCATAGGTGAGGGTAGGAACGTAGATCGACCAGTAAATCGAGAACTTCGCCATCTGACTCAGCTCTCTCTTCACCACGACAGATCAGTACAACGCCCGCATCACTGCAGATGCAGCACCGCCTATCGATCTCATGCTCCAGTTTTCCCTCACTCGTGAACAAGACCCCGAGATACTTAAACTCCTCCACTTGGGGCAGGACCTCATCCCTGACCCGGAGAAGGCATTCTACCCTTTTCCGAATCAAGACCATGGTCTCAGATTTAGAGGAGCTGATTCTCATCCCAGCTGCTTCACACTCGGCTGCAAACTGCTCCAGCGAAAGCTGAAGATCACGTTCTGAAGAAGCCAGCAGGACCACATTATCTGCAAAAAGCAGAAACCTGGTCCCCAGGCCACCAAAACGGATGCCCTCCACACTTTGGCTGTGCCTAGAAATCTTGTCCATAAAGGTTATGAACAGAATCGGTGACAAAGGGCAGCCTTAGCGGAGTCCAACTCTCACTGGGAACGAGCCCGACTTACTGCCGGCAATGCGGACCAAGCTCTGACACCGGTCATACAGGGACTTAACAGCCCGTATCGGAGGGCCTGGTACCCCATACTCCTGGAGTACCCCCCACAGGGCCCCCCGAGGGGCACGGTCACACGCCTTCCCCAAATCCATGAAACACATGTAGACGTGTTGGGCAAATTCCCACACACCCTCAGGATCTGGTGGCGCCAGTTCTCGGCAGCCTCGCCTCTGTCAGTGCACCCCAGGGCAGCTGTGGCTACATCGTAGCTCATCCTCACCAGTGTGTGAATGTGTGTGTGAATGGGTGAATGACTGGTTGTGTTGTAAAGCGCCTTGGGGGGTTCCAGGACTCTAGAAGGTGCTATATCAAATACAGGCCATTTACCATTTACCATCCTCCAAAACAGCAACTTGGCTTTCTGCTCTGTTTTTCTTATCCAACAACACTGAATTCTCATCATTTGCTTTATTCAATTAAATTAAATTCAAAAATACTTTATTAATCCCAGAGGGAAATTGATTAAATTATTAAAATTATTCAGCTCTTTCCAGCAAGACTCCTCATCAGAAGTGGGAACGCTGGCCCCACTTCTCTGATTTTGCTCAGAAAGTGTGCGCATAGCGCTTTGTGTAGCCACTTGACTCTCAGCTTCCTTGTCCGAGAGATAAGCTAGAAGAACACCAAACCGCCCCAGATTCTCCATGCGGGCTGCTGCTTTGACTTTCTCACCTTCGCTGGGCAAAGCTGCTGCGTGGTCCTGCAGATAGAAGAAGAAGAAGAAGAAGAAAATATCATTTCTATAGCGCTTCTCAAGATAAAAATCACGAGGCGCTTCACAAAAACAAAAAATAAAAAAATTTGTAAAAATATAAAAGCATTTCGAAAATGTTTAAAATATATTTAAAATGAGCAAGAATCAGCTATTGCGATTTAAAAGAAAAAATGTTAAGAAAGAGAGAGAGTGAATAGGAAAGAGGGAAATCAGTGGATCCTGAGGAAGGTGGAATAGGTGGGGAGAGCAGAATAAAGAGAGAGTGGTGAAGAAGATCATCCAAAAGCCAGCTTGAACAAGTGAGTCTTCAGCTGCTTTTTGAAGGAGACCACTGAGTCCACTGATCTCAGGCTCAGGGGGAGAGAGTTCCAAAGTCTCGGGGCCACAGCAGCAAATGACCTGTCACCTTGGACCTCAGGGACCTGCTGGGGGTGTAGGGACTAAGAAGATCACCAATGTAAGATGGTGCTTGTCCATGTAGGGCCCTATAGACCAGAACCAGGATCTTGAAATGAACCCTGGAGTTGACAGGCAGCCAGTGAAGCTGG